GCAGGAGGTCACGGGGCAGACCCAGGTGCCACGAGTAGACTGACTGAGATAACCAGCTGATGCACCACCTGTGCCCCCTACTGTGCCAACTTGCTGTGCTTTAGCCACCTGACGCTCCGCTCGTTGTTGTGAGCGTCGCTCCTCCGCCCTCTGTTGCTGTTGGAGGGCGACTGCCTCCAACTGCCCAGTAGCGTCCTTCACGAGCCTCCTCCACAGAGGCCGATCTTGACACCGCTGGTACCAGTCATCGGCAAGTCCACTCAGCTCCACGTCCTCCTGTACCACATATCTCTATATCTTCTCTAGCCCGTGCTGCACCCGTTTAGCCCCCTTTATCCGGCCGAACAAAAGCTGTTTAGGCATGCGGTGACTGGGCATGTGGGCTACATGACCCAGCCAACGCAGCCTTGCCTGCCGGAGGAGCTCACCGATGGAACTTTGCCCAGATCTTTTAAATATTTGTGAGCTCTTCACACAATCCAGCCTGGTTAAACCCAGGATGGATCGTAGTCAGGCCAGCCTAAATATTTCTACCCGGCGAAGATGTTACATTAAGGGGGTCCACGTTTCGCAAGCGTAGAGAAGGGAGGGAATGACTGTGGCCGAGAAGACCCGAAGCTTCGTGCGGAGCGACAGACCAGGTAGCTTCCACACAGCGTTACGCAACCAATGAAAAGATAATGCCGCTCGACTGATTCGGAGTGAGACTTCTGCTGTCAAACCGGAGCCGGCCATGAGCACACTTCTCAGGTATGGGAAACTCTCCACTCTCTCCACAACTGCCCCATCACCAATTGGGAGTTGTGGGGGTGGAGTGTCCGATGGTACAAAATACCCAGGCAGGTGCTTAGTTTTGGTGGTGCTAATGGTAAGGCCCCACCTCTTCGTGGCAAGCTCCAGGTTCAGCAGCAGCGCCTCCAACTCCTCTTCTGAGTGAGCGGCAATTACCAGATCATCGGCATACGTAACGTGGTTGACCAATAGGGAGCCATCCCTTGACCGCACCCGGGCATCGATCAGCCTCGACTGACTGAAATGACTGTAACCGCCACCACACAGCCCCACCGACACGCAGCTCAGTGACTGCGGTCGCTGTGCGAAGTGAGGGGAGAGACTGAGAGGATATAACGAATCCGTGACAGAATGAATAACGAATTCACAATTTGAATGAATGATAAATTCATTCAATTATGTAATGAATCCGCGATAGAATGAATGACGCATGCACAATTTGAATTAATGATACATTCATTTAATGATAAATGAATCCGCGCGACAGAATGAATGCAATATTCACTATTTTAATGAATGATAAATTCATTAAATTATACAATGAATTCACGACAAAAATAATGACACATTAGCTATTTAAATTAATGATAAATTAATTCAACGATATAATGAATCCGCGACCGAATGAATGGCACATTAGCTATTTAAATGAATGAAATTCATTCAACGGTATAAGAAATGCTAAATGCATTATGTATCATTCATTCTGTCGCGGATTCGCTCTATCCTGTTACAGGGCCGCTGTTGGTGCTCCCCGTCCCCCCTCCAGCGTTTAAAGGATTCCCCCTCCATTGCTCGACGCTCGCAGACGTCGTTTGTGGCCTTCCGTTGTTCGTCATTGTTACCTCTATGCGCCTCCCCACACACGTAGCATTGATTGTAGGACACGGAGCGCACGGCAATGTCAGATTATATCGACGGGACCCTCTTGTTTATTTGTTTTCTGCCAGTATGAAAATGATGGAACAAAGGTAATATTCGCCTTCACCGTGTTATTATGTTCACGTCATATTGTGAGGTCGTGTTTTGTTAATTCTATTCTGCACACATACGTTATTGGTTCCACCGTGGTATAAATGCAAATACTGCGGTGCAATTCGCAAGCTGTTGGAGCGCCTGTCACATTCTGAGTCTCCCAAATATAATAATAATAGAACAATTATCATGATCTAATCGTTTTAATACTTATTTACTCATTCGTATAGGAATACCACGCATAGTCGTATGACAATTTTTCCAGGAGGTTCCTGCCGCACCATTTGGGATTTTAAGATGTTTTCAGCCACCAGTTGTTTGTACAAACGGCACGTTGTATGTACAGTACCGTATGTTGAACTTCTGTCGCACCGTACGTAGCCAACCTCGATCATTGGAGATGCCGGGGACGGATAACAAACTAAACACACCAAGCAGTTCTAACACTGGTTTGCGATCCGACACACGCTGTTTTTACAGGACATGCGTATAAATGCAGCGATGCTCCAAGTATGGAATGAGAAAATACGACTAAAGGACCTTCAGAACGTGGCTCAGTGGAGCAGCATCTTCCAGGACACCGTCCTTCGATGTCAGGCTACCCACCACCGCGAGAGCTCAGAATGAGTTGTCAGTCTCGCTTGAGTTTCCAATTCCGACGTTGGGGGTACACGGGCATGAAACCGAACAGAGACCTCGTCTTGGCGACGACGTTCCCCCTGGATGAGACCACCAGCTTTGCGATGCGCTCCTTGTTCGACACCACGGTGGCTAGGAGATGTTAACTACCGCACCTGGTATACAGGAGGTCGTGGGTTCGATCCAGTCCCTGACGCCTGCTGCTGTGTATTTGGAGTTTGCGGTGTCTCTCTCTCCCCGTGGTCGCGTGGATTTTTCTTCGGATCCTCTTAACCGCACTCCTGGGGGTGCGAGATGCACTTTCTGTTGGTGCGAGACATGGCCAGATTTTTTTAAAAGGTAAATCATCGAAAACACATTAAGCACGGGCACGTAAGTTGCAACTACTTTGTTTCATCAAACACACACTTGTGTATTTATGAACATTAAACTTTTTTAACGATTAACGATTGAGGTACAACGCTGCTTTAGAGTTATTTGGCTGCTATACATTAACACAAGATAAGCCACTTCATTGAGCTCTCATTTGTGGCCAGGTCGCTTCTGAAAAAGAGCTATGTAGCCTTACCTGGTCAAATAAAAAAAGACTTGTTTAGACTAAAAAATAACGCGGTCACTGCGTGAAGGAATCGTCAGTTGCCCAACGTCGCCCTCTGCCGAGATAATCGAGTCAGCTCGGCTGAGTGCGAATGAATGTCCTATGTATGTTGAACTTATTTCACAAGTAAAAAACTCAGTTTTATACCAGCGCCGTTCACAAGGCCTCAAAGCGCTTTATAGCAGAATCCCGGTTAAAAAAAAACTATTCCTTAACATGAAAGCCAAGAGGAAAACAACCGTACACAGAAACAATAAATGTATGTTCAGACGAACCATAAAATACCTCGATTCCCAGAGGGTGCCAAAACGATCGGGCAAAAGGCGTCCCACAAACGAGACGCCTGAATACGGAACGTGGCAACCGCACCCATCGGAAACTGCGGGGGAAGGATACCAAACTAAACACAAAACGCAGCTCTAAATAAACTAGTTTTCAATCGAGATTGCACAGCTCCAGTGGCTTCCTAATATCGGAAGGAAGAGCGTTCCAGACGGCCGCAGAAGCACATCTGAAAGTGCACGATGCGGTGACCGTATTTATTCCATTGTTAGCAAAAAAAGCCGCTTCTGCTGCGAGGATGAGCGGCGTTCGCGTGATGGTGGTTGATGCTCCGCGTGACGAGTACGAATCCATAGCTCCACGTGACCTCGATCCCATTGATGGAACAGGTGAAATCCATATTTGCTGTACCGCCTCCTCCTGGTGAGCGAGGGTATGGCACCTGTCCACGGGAACGTGAGAAACTGTGGCGAGATGTTAACTCCCTCGCTTGGTATGCAGGAGATCGTGGGTTCGATCTCGACCCGGACGCCTGCTGCTGTATATTTGGAGCGTTCTCCCCGTGGTCGTGGTTTATTCTCCAGGTCCTCCGGTTCTCCCCTCCACATTTAGAAACATGAGTTTCGAGCATTTGGTGGCTAGACATTTCCACGTGATGACAAGTCCCTTCATTGAACGATCATTTGCAGCCAGGCCGCTTCCGAAATTGCTCCACACCTCAGTTGGCCTTACCTATTAAAATAACAATAAAGTGTGACCCACCAACACTCGCCTGCAGTGCTGGACTACAGGCGCGCATAACCACCCACTGCCTGCCTCAGTGCAGTGTTTGAGAAAGGGACCGTCCATAAATAACGTCACGCACCTAGGGGGGGTTCAGACATTTGTGACGATGTGTAACGAAGGGGGGGGGGGGTTGAGAAATGTGACGTCACATCAAAATGCACAACTTTAAATAAATATAAACACGTTCTACTTCATTAAATAGACTTTGACAATAGTTTAAAGCGAGTTGAAGCATGTTTAATTTGGGGGGGGGGGCAGAGCTTTGTGACGTCATATTTGAGGGGGGGGGGGTCTGATTTTTTGTGACGCCGTGTGACTAGGGGGGGGGGGTCAAAAATCGCGTGACGTCATTTATGGACGGTCCCAAAGCACTTACTATCCGAACATGACCTGGGCATCACCCGCATCAATTCTGCCGACAATGTTCTTGGTGCAATGCTCGGTGTGTTCAGTCACGGCTGGAAAGACAAAGGTGGCAAGATTGGTGCATTCATATTGGCTTCATTCTAACCTTTGTCTCGAGATGTGCCAGCCTTTGTAGGTCAAATAAGCGCGTGACATTAAGTAATTAATAACACAAACTATGGAACACGTCGGCTTTCGCGACAAATGTGATCCATAAGAGGGGTTTTTTGGTTGTCGCCAGGTAAGGCTGGTTATATTTACCGGGGAAACGTCGAACTCAACTTGTAAATGTTGTGGGTTTACTCTCCCAACACACCGGTGTGCTGAACTAGTAAGGAACTGGCATGTTTGTTTACATGACGGGTTTAACGACACTGATATTTACACGATGAAACCCACAAAAACCTCAATTATGGATAAATAAGAAGTGTGTTTTCTGGAAGTACATCATTTCAGCAGCCATTCATTCAAGACAAGCAAAACTCTGCAGCACTCTCAATAAAATCAGGCAGGACAATTTACGTGGATTAAAGTAACGTTTATTTATGAAGCGAGCACACACATTTATTATGTGGGGACATGAGTTGTTGCTAGGTGGCAAGGTCCAAGTCAAATCAGTGTACAAATCAGCCATCCAGCTCGTCCCGACCAATCAAGCCGGCAAGCGGATCACACCACCAACTCGTCCCGAGCAATGAAACCGGCTCGTGGTTCACAGCAGCCAGCACCGACCAACTTGTCAGCTGGCCCAATTAATTCAGCCAGCACAACCACAACTTAGCCGATATTGCGCTTAAGCGTATACGATCACTCGTAGCTGCTAGACCACACCAACCAATGGTGCCCACTAAGTCTGGATCACTGAATTGCAATCCCCATTCTAGCCAGCTGGCCCTAAACAACAGGCGAACCAAGCCAGATGACAAACCAACTAGCGCTCTGCTCACCCAGTTCGGATCAGCCTCGAGCCCAGACAACGTTACGGGGCGATCCCTGACGACGATGGACCGCCGCAGCGACGGAACAGAGTGAATTAAAACTCTTGAGCGAGTTTTTGATTAACGTCCTATTTAAATGACATCAGAATAAGTGGAACCAACACAAATCATGTTTTCTTAACGGATATATCTTAAAACGTATCTACGTGTTAGGATTCTTAACCAACGCTCTACTGTATTAAGGTACATGTGTATAATATTTATGCAACACTATTTCCCTGGATTAATTAGCAAGACCACGTGCGCTTAATTAAAAAGAAAAACCCGAATTCCTTCTAATTCCCGAAGTTGCCGACTGGCACAGAGAGCAGCTGTTTAGAATCAGAACCCTCTCGTCTCAACTACAGCGCTGGGCAATCTGTGGTGGTGGTGGCGGTGGGGGAAATGCGGTATCACGCGGCTCCCTAGCATCGGATGAGGAACGCTCGCCACGATGAGACAAACACCCCCCTCCCCTCCTGTGCATTTAACTATGCATATCGCTGAAGTGATTTAAACACCGACTCTTTCCCGCCGTCAGAACAACAGCGACGCGAAAGTGGCGTTTCGTAAATTCCAGTAAAACTCGCCGCCAGGTTTGGCGATGAGCGAGTCCCAAAAAAGTGGCGACGTCAGCAATGGCCTGGATGGGTGTGGTATTCCTATTAGCTTGGGGAGCGGTGGTGTAGCGGTTAGCGCTACGCTGCGCTACGAACCCGGTGACCCGAGTTCGATACCTGCTCACGGCCAACACCAGTGACGATTACCTGAACCGGTCTTGGGCCTCCCCTGGGTCGACTCAACCTCAAATGTGTACCTGGTGTGGCCTGTGTAAACATCACCACTCGGGAGACAAAGGCGGTCGGACGTGGTGTTGGCCAACCACCCCCTCGTGTGCCGTGCCGGCCTTCACAGGTGCTCGCTAACAGCACGTACCCCAACAGTCTGTTCAGGCTATATGGGGGGGATCTTTGTCTTTTTATTCATATTAGCAGATGTATGCACGAAAACTTGCGAGGGTAAAAGCAATTAGCTATTCCTGGCAGACGAGACTTTGATTATTCAATTGGACTGAAATGCATCAGTAGCCCCGATACAGGCGCCCAATTGCAAAGTGTCAGATGCCCAAGCCAAGTTTGCTTTGCAAGCCGCTTTGACTCCAGAATTGCAGAACCGCCTACACACACACACCTCCGGAGCACGAATAAAACACGCGCACACACACACAAGCCTCTTTTGACTGAAAACACAAATAAAACACATTTTTTATATATATCCATTCTCAAAACTACGTGTTAATAGTAAAAGCACAGCTTAAAACATCAAAATGTGTTCTTCCTAGTGTCCGCTGCGTTTGTATTCTAAATCGAATCGCAGACAGAGCCCGGAGCGTGCCCGGAGCGTACCCAACGCGTCCCGGACTCTGCGCCCGCCACTGGCCGAAGCCGATGGGGGGGGGGGGGAGCTTGAAGACGTTGAAACGTGGCTGCTAAAGAAGCCGACGACTACGGGGGGGGGGGGGGGGGGGGGGCGACGGAGCGGCTCGGCGAAGCGGCCAATCGCTTTTGGAGAGAGAGGACGATTACATCACGTGCCTAAAGAGCAACGACAACGCGCGCATGGACACCCCACCAAACAACTACCGATCGATGATGCAGAGAGTACAGTGTATCATCAAATGTAAGCTAGCAACTCAACACCTGATGGACTATGGAGATAGTTAAAAGAAAAAAATATATATAGAGATCAGTTGTCGGGAGAGGAGGAGAGGGGCAAGGAGACAGAGGTGAGAACGGCCGGAAAATTAAAAGTGCCAATCACGCAGGGATTATAGTGCAAAACAAATGGCTGCGTCGCTAAAAAGAGTTACATCGATTCTTACGGGACAGGACGGGAGAGTGGAGCAGAGTTGGAAAACAAACGCAAGCACACACGCGCAAGCACACACGCGCAAGCACACACACGCAAGCACGTATGCCAATGCGTAGGTACGCAACACTGGAATCTAGGGGAGAGACAGCAGCGCCCCCGAGCGACGCAGCAAAACTTCTCACGCTGCCCTCTGCCCCGCACAACGCTCGCGCGCGCACAGCGCGGACCACGGGAGGCGTTTGGAGACAATGGTTCTATTGCGCAAAGTGCCGCCGTTAGAAGTTAAAGTGTCTCAGTTCCAGAACAAATTCAAGGGGAGAGGTCGTAACCCGGCGGACAGGGTCGACTCGGCCCTATTAGCACTACGGGGGGGGGGGGGGGGGGTCGATAAAATGAGTACCGCCTTAGTCGGATGGTTCTCTTGAGACCGGGCCCCACCAGAACGCGGAATTTTCCACAGCAAGCGGAGTTGAACGTGACGCGGGGAACAAAATTCGTGAGACGAATAAAAAAATAAACACAACTGGGATAAAAATGGTGATGAAAGTTCAATTAAAGAGGTGATAAAAATGTAATTACGAATTAAAATGTTTTTTTTATATAAAAAGGCCTTACATTTGCTGAATGTAGACTCACACGTGACCATAGTCACAAGCTTTGCGATCTAAACTGCTCGGTGCGGATATGTATGTTGTTGAACTTCTCCCGCACTGTGCGTAGCCAACCGTGCTAATTGGAGGTGCGGCGATACAAAATTTTTTGGTAAAAACCTGTAATTTAGCTCGACACATCACTGGCAATGTGCAAAGAAAAAAAGGCGCGGAGGACGGAAAACATGCCTCTTGAGTTTCTCTCGTCAGCTCGGGAGCGCTGCCAAAGCCCCGTGGGATCGCAAGGGGAGCAGAGAATCTACGTGCGTGCGTGTGTAAGCGTACATGTGAGTGAGCACGCCTGCACGCGCCGCGGCCACCCGACATGGCGCGGCGCAACGTGGCGCTCAGTCCTGCTCGCAGATCACCGTCTCCACCACCATGGTGCTGGCAAAGTGGCGGATCTTGTGGCAGTTCTCCAGCGATCTCTTCTCCATCGCCACTACCATGCCGACACGAGGGGACACACGCACGCGCACGGGGGAAGGCACGGGGGACGAGGGTCGGGGTCGGGGGGGAGATCGGAGGCGAGGTCAGATTTTATGGGGGTTGGCATTAATGGGTCGCGAACTCATGAGACAATAAGCTTCCTTTGCAAAGTGTTCACAATTCATTTGGTGAAAACAAAATAGAATTCCTTTCCATGCGTTCATATTCTGGCCTCCGCCACGTTACCATTTCACACGATGCTCCCTGGTGTCCCCGTGTCTCCCTGGTGTCCCCGTGTCTCCCTGGTGTCCCCGTGTCTCCCTGGTGTCCCCGTGTCTCCGTGCATCCCCGCATGCGTGTCCCCATACGTACTTGGCTGCGGGCGGCGCTGCAGGCGGAAGGTGGGCTTGCCATTGCACATACGGAAGATGAAGAAGCCCAGCTCGTCCACATCGTCAATCCGCTCCGTCACCACCAGCTGCTCGTGGATCAGGTACGTCTGAGGCAGGTAGGTCCCACGCTGCAAGGACAAAATGAAAAGGGGCAAGTGCCGTAAGTGAGCACCGATGAATCTTCTTCATTCGTACGGCTGATGTAGATGCAGAGCAACAACTACAATTTCACATTCAGGTGTCCAAGCCAGATAACCACTTTAGGAGCCAGCGGAGTGTATTGCTGTGATGATGTCTCCTTCATATTTGTGGTTCGGGGCATTGCGTCTTTATGCATTTGTACGGTCTGTTCTGGATGGCCACAGTCGCACACTACTGGAGCGTTTTCATTTTCCATTTGTGCATCAGGTATCCGCATCTGCCATGGTGTGTGCGGATGTGATTTAGGGTGGACCATGAGCTTCGTGGAAGTTCAAACCCAGGGAAGTTCTGCGTTGGATCTTTCGCAGAGGTGTTTTTTGCGAGTTCTTTTTAACTCCATTCACCAGCGACGAATGACGATGAGCAACACGAGGGGGAGGTGCAGCTACCACCATGTCCGGCCGCCTTTGTCTTCCCAGTAGAGATTTTTCCACACCCCACCGGGTATTGGCTCATTTGAGGCAGAGTCGATCAAGGGGGAGGGAGGGCCACTGATGTCAGTCATGCACTGGAATCGAACCCAGGTTGTCAGTCATTACTCGCACTGCGCCACCACTGCGCATACATCCACGCACAACAACAACCACCGACATTCATCACTAACTGGCGGTGATGTCACCACGGCGCTTGTGCAAGCTATGTGCACTTTAAGGCCACGTGAAGTGTCAAACGCCTGCAGGAAGATCACGGGACAGACCCAGGTGCCATGGGTGGGCTGACTGAGATCACTGGTAGATGCACCACCAGCTGTAGCTACAGCAGCAGCAACATCGCCCCCTACTGCGCAAAACTTGGTAGAATCCTTCTGTTGCAAAAATATTTATTGAGATGCAGCGAGGACTTACCATGGGTTAACACGCGGATAAATAATAATAATCTTTCCGGCGTCTTCTCAATTGTTAGTCGAATCTAACACATTGCAGTCGCATACCTATCAACACCTTATCAGTTCCTACCTTATTACAGACCAATTCAGACCTTATTAGTCACCCCGTGCCCTTATAAATCTCAACGTACACCCTACAAAGTCCTGACATGACTGGCCGATAAACCACCTGTGCCCCCTACTATGCAAACGTGAGTTTTAGCCGCCCGGCACTCCGCTCGTTGTTGTGAGCATCACTCATCTGCCCTCAGCTGTTGCTGGAGGGTGTCTGCCTCCAACTGCCCAGTAGCAGCGTCCTTCACGAGCCTCCTCCACAGGAAACGCACTCACAAACACACACACATCCACACACACAAACTGCGTGGGGTGCTTACCCGGATGTTAATCATGAGTTCAAAGAGGTTGCGAGGAGGCATCACGATGGACGTGTTGAGGGCGATGACGTAGCACTTGCCCAAGTTCACGTCGTAGTAAGCTGTCAGCAGCTACAGACACGCACACACACGCACGTGTCAGCAAGACAACACACAACATACCCACACAAAGACAAAGATCCCCCGTTAGCCTCCACAGCCTGTTGGGGCAAGTGCCATTAGAGAGCGTTTCTGAAGGTCAACACGGCACACTAGAGGGTGGGTGGTTAGCACTACACCCAGGAGCCTTGGTCTCCCCAGTGGTGATGTTGAAACACTGCACCAGACACCTATTTGAGGCTGAGTCGACCTAGGGGAGGACCGGTTTGAATATTCAATGGTGTTAATCAAGAGCTGGATTGATTCGTAGTGCAGTGCGATAACCACAATGCCATCACTCCCGACATTGCACAAACACCGCAGGACGCGTGCGCCTACAAACCATGGGATGTACATACACTGACACACACGGGGGGTGGGAGGGGGAAGCACGCACAAGGGCACGAGCGAGAAACAACACAGAACACACACGCGGGCACTGCAGAGCACACTTGAAACTTTTAAACTAAGCTTTTTTTTTATTTTACCAGGCAAGGGCCCACTGAGCTATGTAGCTTCAGAAGTGGACCTGGCCACAAATGATAGATCTACGAAGCGGCTTCACACACGGAAATTTCTAGCAGCTAAATACTCTAAATGCAAAATGATTATAAATGTGGAGGGAAAAAACCGGACGACCTGGAGAAAAATCCACACGACCACGGGGAGAGAGACATGCAAACTCCAAATATACAGGCATCAGTATCGGGATCGAACCCACGACCTCCTGTACACCAGGAGAGTTAGAGGTAACATCTGGCCACAGCGGCGCCCACACACAATGAGATGTGTGCACAGAACCCACAACAGGAAGCAGGACCGCGCACACAATAAGCTTCACACCAGTGATATTATTACTTACGGGAACTGGAAGTGAAAGCTGAGCTTTGTTAATGGGAACTGAAATGAGAACCAAGTGATCTCAGCAAAACTATAATAAACTAACCACAGGGAGCTGGGAGCATAGTGGCGGGAACACGAGTGCAGTACAACAGTGGAACTTGCTGCACTGCCCTCTTGCTACCCGCCAAGTCGCCGCCGCAGTTTATAACAATCTGTTGTGGATAGCGGCCACCCATCGAAGCCCTATCCAGGCTCAACTCCGCTAAGCTTCTGAGATTTGACATGGTCGTGTGCATTGTTGGGTGATCCGGGCACAGGGCTACCAGCTTTATTATTATATTAATATCCAGAGGTGCATACATTAAGACAAATTTGTATCTAGACAACAGATTGAACTGCAAGGTTGAAAAAAACGGAGGACCCCGGAGGAAAATCGACACGATCACAGGGAGAACATGCAAACTTAAAATGTATAGGCATCAGGCTTGGGATTGAACCCAAAACCTCCTGTATACTAGGCGAGGAAGTTAATACCTCTCCACCGTGGCACCCCATGAACAAGGCTGACCGTCCGATGAGTGAGTGACCGGACTGAACCAGTGCGTGCTCGATCATCAACGAACCCCGGTTGCTTTACGTTGAATTCCATCAGGGGCAGTGTGTGTTCGAGGAACTGGGCGCTCCACCCCAGATATGGCCACAGTACCCCAGCTTCGGCCTAATTTGTGCTTCATATCCGTGAATATATAGATTGCCTTTTAATATCCCTAGAGCAAGCTTTGGTATAGGTGACAAAGCCTTTGCTTTTGTAGCACCAAAACAATATCCTGAAGCAGAAGACGAGTACTAGTCACATTTGTACTGTCTGTTGTTGTAACTTGCTGACCCGCCCATACTGGACATCTGTGAAAAAGAGATTCACAGCTCATCGGATTCCTCCTCCCGTCTAAATAAATATTCTGATATATATCTATATTAGCTCAAGCCTCCCGCAAACCACGTGACTTGTGTGTGGCCATCCCCCACACCGAATGCCTCCCCTTTAACCGCCGTAGTCCCCTGTGAAAACAGATGCCGCTGCTCCTCCTCCTCCGTGAATATCACTTCTGCAAGCTCCTTATATCTTCTCCCTCTCTTCCCACCCCCTCCACCTCTCATCATTATCATCACCGCCCTCTCATCCCCAACATCTGGGCCCAACCATTCCTTCTGCCCCTCCTCCTCCCCCTCCTCTTCACCACTGCGTCTCTCCTCCTGCTGCTCATCTTTGCACCGTGTGCCCTCCTCTTTGTCCGTCTTGGGGACGTCCCTCCCAGCATCCCATCCCTTTCTCTGTTCCTTTCTCCGTTCCCATGCATTACATCCGTGACTCTACTCCACTTCCCCTGCTGTGCCATGGGTAAAAAGAGGTGGCACAGCAGTAATAATTAATTGCTCGATGTTCATGAGGCTTTTGCACGCAAAAAATAAACAATGCTTAATTCGACGCCTTCCAGTCAGATGAGTCATACAGCCATTTCATGACAAGCAGGACACACGTGCTTATTGTATCAAGCAGAGTGATCGCCAGGTGACACCTGGGTTTCTGTCGCACCTGTGTCGCCAACACAACGGCGAACATGTGGAGGATTAAGGGGGGGGGATGAGATTCGTATGACAACATATTCACATTGTCAAGTCGCTGCGTTACCCCAGTAAAAAGCACTGTAGAATTGAAGCTCTGTCATCATGGATAATAATTTCAACTTGTGATACGTGCACAGCACTTGCTGGCTCACGTAGAGAAATACTCGGGAGGCGTGAGGTGGAACGACAGACAAGCAGGAAGGCAGCCACGCGATGAGCTGGTGTCAACAATTACCCAAGCCGTGCAGCCCTCTATATATGAAGATGTCATCGGCCAATTAAATCGTGTTTGCACATGGCAGGAAACCAGAGCACCCGGAGAAACCACACGCTTGCCAGGGGGAAACACTCTATGACTCTATCCCAAACACACGCAACACAGGTGGGGGAGTCCACGTGATGACACCTTTCTGGGCACCCTGCACTCGTTATTCGGTTGACCCAGCGTCTCGCGGTGCGCCCACCTTTACAATGCACGATTCGCCGTGAGGAACCTCCGGGCAACGATGAATGTTAATCAGAGATTACACATTTGAGCCGTGAGAGATTATTCCCCGCTTTCTGCTTTGTACACAAATCATGATGCATGAAACCCCTGATATGTAATCAAATGTCGGGATGTGAGGCAATGACTCAATTAAGAATCAACTCTCGTCTGATTTGCACCGCTCTCGTGCGCTCCGCCCGTCCGGCACGCCTTGTCGGTCTCTCTGCTTTGTTCTCATCTCATCCGTTCTGCTCCGTAACCCAAGGGGAGACATTCACGTTAAATTCGCATAAACGTGGAAGCGTAAAACATGCGCATCTCGAATGTGCAGCAGCTGCGGGGTAGAGCATAGGCAGCAAGGTGGTGGTGTTATCATTACGTTGACTCCATGATATCCCCCACTGCATTGCTCGTAAGACCCTGCAAAGACTGTTCATCGTACGACACAGCGACAATGTTTCCTTCGCAGAGCTGGAAACCTGTGAAGTTGACCGACAACGCAATGGAAGCGTCTTGAAAAGCATAAACGCGATCAATTGTGAACAGTTTTAGACCATAAATTTGCTACACTAGGGGACGCAGTTTGTTTGCACCCGGCTGGAGCCACAATTGTAAGACTATAAAGTGAACTGTAAACAATTATTTATTTTACCAGATAAGCCCCACTGAGCTGTGTAGCTCTTTTTCAGAAGCTACATGGCCATGATAGCTCGCGTGGATATTTATAGCGGCCAAATACTCCACACGCACGTTTATACATGTGGATGGAAAAACCGGAAGACCGGGGAGAAAAATCCACTCGACCACGGGGAGAGAGACACGCAGACTCCAAATATACAGCAGCAGGCGTCAAGGTCGGGATCGAACCCACAACCTGCTGCATACCAGCCAATGTAGTTAACATCTCGCCACCACGGTAAGTTCTCAGTGGCACCTGACTCCGTGTCTCTGCTGAGCCGCCCCCTTGAGTCAGCGGGCCACCTCACTAACCAAGCTCACTTGGTTTTGCCCATGTGGTCCACACGCATAATCCAATGGTATTATGGATCAATGGGACAGAGGGGTTTAAACACATACGAATAGATTATGAATACATTACTCAGTGCATGTAATGTGAGGAATTAATGAGCCGTTATGTCTCGAGGGAATCGATACTGCTCTTAGAAAGTAACCAAAACAGTGCCTAATTGTTAATCTGGCTGTGTGACAACAGTGGATGAGAGTACGTGACTCACAACTAGTGGCCCACGAGTTCAGACCCTGATGAGGAATCAATTCGGTCACGATCCTATAAACTGCCATAACTCAGGACCATAATTCGATTAAGAGAATAGTTTCTCATTCGTCCTTGTACCACCCCTCATCGGAACTTTCTTGTTTGCACAATGTGTATCCTGTCTCAAAAGAAGTGAGACCAACCCACCACTTTACCCCCAACCACACGCAACCTGCTTATCAACTAACCACGGTGAACCTATTTATAACTCTGGGTGCACAGGGTGAGGGCCGGAGTGGAGGGGGGGGGATTTAAGACACCCCAATCGACTGCCACCTTCATTTTTTCCGATCCGGTCTCCCATGAGGCACGGGAATTAAAACAATAGGACAAGTTCCCCATCTCCTCGCCCGCCCCACTCCCAGATCCCTCCCCAGACTCCTCCCCCCGGACACAGAGCCTTTGCTGTTATATTTCTTTTAAACAGCGGTCGGCGGATGGCTGCAGCCTCAGAACGTGGCCAGCTAACACCGGAACGTGCGACCCCGGAAGTCGCCGGGTCGACTCTCTTCAGCCGGCGACCTCCGGCATCGCCTCCACACCTCCGCCGCGGCGACACCTCCGTCGCCGCGATGTCCCGAGCAAACCCACCCGCTGGAAGTCGTGCACGATCTCGGCGGGGTCACTCTCCTCGAAGCCGGGCACGGGCACGTTGATGAGGGACACCGAGTAGTCCAAGTCGAACTCCACGTCCTCCTCCAGGCGCAGCAGGGGCGCGCTGCCGCCGCCCAGCATCAGCTCGTCGTCGTCGATGTCATCGCCGTAGTGACGCGGACCAAAGCCCACGGCCGCCGGGGACATGGCGCGCGGCGGCGGCTGGTCCATGTAGCTCACGCCACAGTGAAACATGCGGGAGTTCTGCGGGGGGACGGCGGAGGCAGGGCAGGCGCCGGCGGTCGTTAATAATAGCGGCGGCGATGAGACGTTATTCGTGCACCGCTTCGTTCGGTGTCACAAAAACACAATGGCAACAAACGGCCACCGCTATTGCGGTGGAATTTGTAACGGGGCTCGCCGCTGGGAGTGAAACCACAGACGAGCGGCTTGGGGAAAGGCGGCGAGCAGTGGCGCTAGTGACAACTGCCCCGAGATCTGTGGTCCTCTATTGGGATGTTTTTTTTTAGCCCAAGTCCCATTTGAGAGTGTTCACGCACGTGGGAGAGAAATCCGAGAGCCCGGAATAAACCCACGCATGCACAGGGGGGAGGGGTGGGGGGGGTAACACTCGATATCTTCATACAGATGGAGATTAACCCACTTGCTGTACTGCCATCATACGCTGGCCAATGTCAGGAGATGTCGATATGGATGCTTGCGGATAGCAGGGGGTGGGGGGGGGGAGGGTTGTTGGGGGTGGGTTGCCTATTGGTCACAAGCAGCGTAACCGCTAGCACCCAGTACCGGCGATGAGCCGAGGTGAGAAATGAGAAAAAGGTGAAATGAGACGTGGAGGGGGTCAAGATGGGAAAAGACGTGAGATGTCGTGAGACGCGGCGCACAAAGCCAGAGTGATGAGAGAGGAGTGATGAGGCACGGTGTGATGATAAGAGGCTTGAACGATGAAGAGAAACAAAAGTCCAACGGAGGTGAGACGGTGAGCCGTGTGGACAAGACACAAGGGGATACACGAGAGGACACACGAGGGGACGAGACACAAACGGCAGGGGGGGTTGGAGGGACACGAGGAGAAGAGAGGAGACGCAACAAGGCGATGAGAAGTTGTGGGATGACGAGGCGAGGAATAGTTGTGGGATGACAAGACGAGGAGTAGTGGTGGGATGCCGGCAAGAGGAGTAGCGGCCGGATAACGAAATGAGGGTGGAGGTGCCACTGCCGCTCCGCACCGGGATGAAGTGGCGGTAGAGGTAGAAGCCGACCACCACCAGGCCAGCCAGCATGAGCCCCAACCCCAGCACCAGGCACCAGCCCCAGGTGCGGCCTCCAGCACGGCGCGGGTTCACGGCCACTGCCTCCACATCCTTGCACGCGCGGAGACACGAGACAAAACAATCGCGCGTCGATAAATTAGCCAGTCCGTCGGTGAAGCAGGCGGTCCGATTACACGGGCAGCTTAACCAGTCAGCCATTTATTGAAAGTTTGAAAAATTACAAAATACACTAATTCACTGGTTGGAATAGCAACCACCTCAGCCAATTAGGCAATTTGCGCATCAGTTAGGCAAATAACCAATGAGCCAATTATCCAGATAAAAAAATCAATAATGCACTTTCGCCACCATCTGGATGTCGTATGCGCGGTGCACCGGGCGTCACTCTCCCACCTGCATGGCAAATAACTCACTCAGCAAATCCATCCTTTCAGCATTAGCCAATCAGACAGCCCGGTGTGGGCCATCCTCAACACAATGTGAGTACACAAAGACAAAGATTCTAATATAAGCTTGTAACAGACTGTTGAGGCAAGTGCTGTTAGCGATCACCTATGAAGGACGGCAAACGAGGTGATGGGTGGCCAGCACTACGCCCAGTCGCTTTTGTCTCCCTACTGGCGATGTTGACACACCGCACAAGGTGCTCATTTGAGGCATCCTTAAAAATGACACACTTGGTTCCCCCGGATTGACTGCCCCCCCCCCCCCCCCGATCAATCAGGACACATGGGGGACACAAACAACCACGTGCGGTTGTCACCCAACGTTCTGCTGCAGGCCTTTGTGTACAGAAACAATCAAGTAAAAATATTATTATTCTTTAAATGACACGCTTAGCTCAACCAATGGCCAACTCCTTGCTAGGAAGAAAAGCATGCCTTGCCAATCAGAGTCGATTCCAAACCCTACTCCTTGCCAGACTAACCAATAAGATCATAAACCATAACACCAACCCCACCACCAGCACTTATCACCAGGCTTCTTTTTCACCTTTTGTTGCTTCCCATTCCTGGTATCAGAGTCGGTACAGCAGGCAGGTGTCGAACAGGTCGTCTATGTACCGCGGTGTTCTCACGGCTGCATGCATCGGTGTATTGAAAAATGGTGCATTGAAAAATGTTGATACTCTGACTGATGCTCCTGCTGGTGTGGAGTGACTCATGCAGCCAGCTATGGCTGCAGAGTTTGGTAGTACATGTTGTTTACGTCGTTTATTGTGAAAATTCGGTCACAGTTCCTATGATCACAGTTTCATTGCTTTTATAGCTTTATTTTGGTGATTTTCGAAAAGTTTTTTGGTTTGGCCATTTTTGTTTGTTGCAGTACAGTGTTAGACTGATGGCCTTAATCTAAGTTGTCTTGTGGTTGTTGTTGTTGTTTGACTTGCATCCCACTGGGATTTTTGCACACAGTGTTGGTGTACGGTGCTTTTTCTGCAATATTTTGCGGTCTTTTCTTGGATTTTCTGTTTGCACATAGTCACTTTAAGATGTTTTCTTGATCATGTTTTTGTTTTCTGTTTGTTGCGGTTGCACCCGATTCAAGAGCCGAATGGCTCACAGGGCTATACCTAATAAATGAACTTGAACTTGATCGGTGGGTTTCCTCCAACACAGAACGTCCTAGCTTGGGCAAGAGAGCAACTCCACCCTTGCTGGCTGCTAGCGGGTGTCTACGCTGCACGTGGCCTGTAATGGCGCGCCGCGGTGGCAAGATGTTAACTACCTCGTCAGGTATGCAGGAGGTCGTCGGTTCGATCCCAACCCTGACGCCTGCTGTATATTTGGAGTTTGCACGTCTCTCTCTCCCAGTGGTTGCGTGGATTTTTGCTCCAGGTCCTCCGATTTTTCCCTCGACATTTAGAATCAACGTGCGTTTAGAGTATTTGGCTGCTATAAATTTCCACGTGATAATAAGCCACTTCGTTGAGCTATCATTTGGGGCCAGGTCACTTCTGAAAAAGAGCTATATAGTTCAGTGGGGCCTTACCTGGTAACATTTAAATTGTTTATAGTAATCCAGCACTTTGGAGGCAGCAGCAGCGAGGGTTGGTGGATCGCACAAATGTTGCGCAGCTCTCTTCCCGTCGGCGTCGAGGTGGCGTAAGCTGGCTCGCCAGAATGTGGTCGAGAAAATGTGGACTCATCTCCCTCTGTAGGGGGGGATAGAGCGTGTTGCCCCCCCCCACCCCCCAAATGCATCCATTTTCTCTGGGTGCCCCTGTTTCCTACAATGTGTGTTAAACGCTCATTAACTGGCTGGAAACATCTTAATATAGAGGACCGCAAAGCTGGGGCAACTGTTGGTACCCGCCAGCTCACCACACGGCAGCTTTTCCCACTTGTCTCTGGCTCCTCAGTCATTCTCCGATGAGTGCGGTTGGCTACGTACGGTGCAAAACATTGTCAATGTACATACGTACGGAAAACTAAGAATAGCTTTTACCCTTTCTGGCAATAAAACAGGTGTTAAGATGTTCGAACACAAAATAGAAACCTTTTGCAAGGAATCATGTCTGCATCAACCACATGCACGATCAGAGCATTTAGAGAGCTCGGGGTGAGCCACTACAGATGGGACCTCTTTACCAGTACATCCTCTCGCTTTGAAAGCAAGCGACTACTGTGTGAGGCGTTACAAGTTGAAATTATTCTTTTAATTATTATCCTCAAATTATGTCCAGTGTTCTTGAGCAATTCCACAGTCCAATGTCAGGTTTTTTTACCCACAGAACAACCCATGGAGACGGCCCACAAACCGGTTCTCGTTCGTATACAATCATGGGAGCCATGACGGGTGGAGTCAATGCACAACCGGCGATGTTTACACACCGCACAAGGTACTCATTTGAGTCGTCCTTGAGGAGGCCAAGGACTGGTTCAAATACTCATAACTGGTGTTGGCCGTGAGCGGGAATCGAACTCGGGTCGCCGGGTTCGTAGCGCTGCGTGCCGACTGCTACACTCCCACTCCCCAAACATACACCCAGGCCCAACTTGCTTGGGACACCATGGCACCGATTCCCCTAATCAAACAGCAGAGCTGCGCCGTGATTACAGCACGCAGCTCACAAACTAAAGTGTGCAAGTTCACACCCGGGTCGGGGTCGGTCCATCCTTAGAGAATTTAACAAATGTAAGGGGAGTTGACGAAGGCGTGTGTAAAGTTTGTGATATTGTTAGGGCTGATAAAGTGGAATCTGAGAGGAAACAAATGAGCCAGTACAGATGAGACATGGCTGAGGGGAGACAAACGATACAAACAAGGTAGGCAGTACATAAAAAACAGACATTACAGATGAGAGATAGTGCAAACGATGTCCCCGATATATATCTCGTGCTATGCACACTAATTTATTCTTGTCGATGGTGCAAGCTGTACAGCTGCAACCGATAATAGAAAGGTAGACATTACAAATAAGTGGAGATGAGACTAATAATCATTGATTTCAGCTTCAATGGTAACCTCCAATTGTAGCGATGACGTATCGACTCGCAGAAAGGTCAACGGCTTCCTTGCCTAAATTGCATTGACCAATCAATCACGCACCACTTTCCAGCCCAGAATGCACTTGCTACAACAACAACTGCCATTCGCTACTAAGTGACGGTGACATCACCACGGTGCTTGTGAAGTGTCGAACGCCCGCTGGCAGGAGGTCACGGGACAGACCCAGGTGCCATGGATGAACTGACTGAGATAACTGGCCGATGCACCAGCTGTGCCCCCTACTGTGCACTTGATACACACACAGACAACATCAGTAGCCACCAATCAACTCATCAATCAATTAACCTGTCAACTGGAGCAGGCTATCAATCTATTCCCCCAATAAACCAACCGGACACCTCCTGCACATCTGAATGGCGCCCACTCCTCGTCCACTCTTAAGTTGATCGCTTGACGGTTTGGTCAATTCATCCCATCGACCGCTTTACCACGTTGAAGGAGATAAACCGGACGAGAGGTCGCCAAGGCCGATGTTGACAATATGCCACCACGCTTCGCCATCGATGCAATTCTCTCTGCGCGATCGTGCAGTCTGTCTGGCATGGGTGGGCTGCAGTCTTTTCGCGTGCTGCGAGTCTTTTCGCACACTGCGCTGGACAAATACCGGCAACCCAAGTTCAAGTCCCGCTCACGCGGAATGACAGTGGCATTTATTTATTTGAACCGGTTGTGGGACTCCCCTGGGTCGGGTCAGCCTTAAATGAGCACCTGGTGAGGTGTGTAAACACCAATACTGGGGAGACAAAGACGGCTAGATATGGTGCTGGCCACCCACCCTCTCGTGTGCAGTGTCAGCCTTCATTGGTGCTCGCGAATAGCAATTGCCCGTCAGAGCCTGTTAAAAGCTATAGGGGTGGGATCTTTGCCTCTGTAAATTATTATTTGAAAAAATAAAAATATATTGAGTCTTTTGTTAATCCACTGCTGCGTGAAGGCCTCTCCATGCCATGTCCGTGCAGTTTGGTTCTGCATCACTCCATGAAAAACTAAATCGAATTATTTAACCAACAGCTGAATAATAACCATGGAATCAGCATCGGGAAGTCAAGTCCTTGCAGTCATTCAGTTTCATCATTATAGAAACAAAATATTGCTTTAAACATTTTATGAATCTATACTCAGCGCAGAAACTACATTCATAATTCCGTCAGGCACAATGTAAACACTGACAGTTTCACAGCAAAGCGATAATCTCCAATTCGCATGGTTGGCTACGTACGGTGCGAAAAAAGTTCAACATACGTCCATACGTCAGTCAATTTACAATCCCCTGTTGTTTCCCTGAAGGTTCCTGGAAGTCACTCCAATGCCTTTAGTCAGGTCGACACCTGCAAACATTGGTTGAATGCAACTCATTCTTCTACATGGATGTGTCTGCAACCAGTTGCACAACCAGTTGCTGCTTCCGGTAGATAGACTACGTTCAACCATCGATCGGCTCAGCGATTCGTCGGGTGCCGGACATTTGCGAGCTGTCACTGGGGCGTCACAACCCTGACCGCCTGCCGTCTGGTTCGTGGTATCCTTTTGTTGCGAAACCGACGGCCCAGATGTCGACACGTCGACACGTCCGTAGG